TGCAGCTTGCCTTCATGCATGCACTGTGCCATGATGTAATACAGTCAGCAATCACAGGATTGCAAGACTGTTTCTAGACAGATTTGTTTACAATCTAAGAAACCCAAACAGTAACTTTCATAATAGGAGTCCTATCTCCAGTGCATATTGTGTATGTTGCTGTGAGACCAGAAAGAAAAAAAAATAAAAAAAATACAAGACCATACCTTTGTACAATGATTGCAATAACAGATGAATAAACATGCAACCTGATACTTCACATCTGGTATTTCATCACTCCAAATACCTTATTCGCATTCAAATATATTTAATACTGTGGAAACTTTATAAGGTAGTGATGTCTTTATAGAGGCAGTAACTTGCATGGAACTTTTAAAATTAAAAGCAATAGTAAAAATAATTTGTAACATGTTACTGTATTCTTCATAAAGGTGGTTGCCTTGCAGTTTCCTAATAGAAACCCAGAAAGACACCTAATAATAGCAGTTAGCTACAGAATCACACAAACCTACAGAATAGGATTTTTTTTGCCGATGTACTAGTTCAAAGTTCAATTTTAATATTCAATTTATACAAGGTGCTTTGGAAATGAAGACTACTATTACTCATTGTGCAAAAATTCTATCATCTGAGCAGAAATTTTTATGGAAGTATCATTTTCCCTTTACTGTCATGGTAATGCAGGCCAAGAGATTTTATGCATGACCTAATAAACATATACAACAGTTTTGAAAGGCTGCTATGCACCTTCTCACGTTAATTAGTACTCATTCTTCTCTGTAAAACGACTAAGCACACTACAAAACTTCCTTTTTAAATAATCATTAATACACTCTTAAGTAGTTTTGTTGCAGAGATTAATACCTCCAATGTAAACCACAATGACTAATTTCATTTGTAATTGAAGAGCTGTTTATAGGTCTCAAAAATTAAGATTAAACTATTTTCTTGTCTTAAAGGCAAAAGCCACCTTTGCTACCTGGAGGCTAAGTTAGCAATGACGATAACAACATGCCTGCAGGCGTTACTACACTTGCTAGCAACTTATGTTACTTTGGCATTGTCCCTAAAGCTGCACTAAAGCTACGTCTTGCTATAGCTAAATTTAAAAAAAAAAGATGAAAACACGCACGCACACAGGGCCAAATCCATTGCCGCGGTAACTCCAGTGACTTCAGTGTTACACCAGGGATAAAAGTAGGGCTGCGTTTCACAGCAGCTTTCATTCTTGTAATCTTTTCCAAAACACTCTCCCAGGACCAAAGACAAGCACAGGCAAATATCCTGCCAATAAGTGAGTTCACAGGAATCGCTACAAGTAACTAAACTGTCAGCAGTAAAAGACCAACAGTTGGAACACAGTACGAATACAGGACAGCCAATGCCCTCTAATGGGCTAGAGTTTTACTATGTGCTGGATAAACAAGGACACAGAAATTCATTGGAATTGCTCTCTGAGAGGGAAGGCAAATTATAGGGTGTCCCACTTCGTACTAGTGGATGATATTTGTGTTTTATCAATACTTCTTTTGAAACGGTACAGATGAAAAAAATTCTTACCAATACCTTGCAAGACAAATGAAAATGGCTCTGAGTCGAGTCTTTCCTCCATGGGCTACGCTCAACTGCTTCCACAAAGAGTGTGAGCATCAATTTATAGATGTGTTCCTCTATCCTTCTTCAAGCTTTCATATTTACTCCCTCCTCACCTTTTTTCTATTTTATTTACTACTAGTCAATACCGTAGTAGGAGCAAAACCAGAACTGTAAGACCATCACAACCACACAAGCGCACACACACAGGAAGGGGGAAAAGGAGTGACGGATAGTGCTTTTCTGCAGAAACCTTATCACTGGTCCCTTGGCCTTACAGCACACTCCCTTTCTCTCAAGAATTTCCAAACTACGGTTCCTGGAATTTACCCCTCTGAACCAAAACAAGCGTCTTTGCTTCTTACCCAGTCTCATTTCCTATAAATTTTAAAACAAGTCTCCGTAAGTTTTTATTTTGTTTTGTGAGGGTTTCTTCAAGGAGCCATAACCCTGTGCTGGTGGCAGGGTCAGCAGCAGCCTGAACTGCTCCTGGTCTCGCACAGGTCTCAACTTTGTCCTTACAGCCGGAGGATGCCCCAGGGCCAAAAAAAAAAAAGTCAAGATATCCCCTTCCCCCTCCCCAGCCACTGGGCCCTGCAACCCTCTTCTGCGGGGGTAGGATCAAAAGTCTTTTGTTCTCCTCATCCTCTGGTGCCGCAAGTTACTTTTTTGGGAAGGCAAGGGGAGAGGAGAACGCCTTCCCCTTCCCTTCCCTCCTCCATCCAAGCTCACAGCTGTAGAGGAACAGCTGAAGCGATTCAGGCTGCCCGGAGAGGTCACAGATGTCCCTCGGTACCACTGGGGCGGCTCTGCCAGGGCGAGCCACGCTGCTGCTGCCGCTGCCCAGATGGCACCGCGGGCAGGCACCCCTCGGCCACCCAGCCCGCGCCACCCCACCGCCCCCCAACCCCCGGATTTCAAGCCCCCCAGTCCTGCTCGAGCAATCCTCCAGGTCCCCCCCAGCCGACCGACCCGGAACCTGTACAGGGCGCTCTTAGAAACGCCACTTTTAAGGACGATTTTAGACCACCACAAAGAACAGTGAAGAAACCGGCTTCTGCTTACACGAATGTCGCAAAGCTCTCATTAAATCAAAGGCAGAGACCTAAAATCTTTCTTCAAGCAAAATCTCTGCTCTTCTCAAAGTCTTTCTGCAAAGATAAAAAACTACAATTGCTTAACTTAATCCACACAGATGATCATTATATTTGCCTCCGTAAAGATCATATTTGTTCTAGTGCCTATATCTAAAGGTAATTTCAGTTAGAAAATGAAATGGTGCTCTCTTGACCTTTTGTCTTACATGGTTCATGAATTACTGACACATTACAATATCCCCCAACACTATGGAAGCTTAGAGATATTGCAATGTCTCTCTTGTAAGTGAAATAAACTTGGTATGCCACTAAAAGGCATTAAATTATTTTCATTATGCCACACAGAATCTAAAACACTTACACTGTTTTGATTTCAAAATCCTTGGAGAACAATTACGCTCTCAGGGCCATAAGACTCTATTAGAAAGTCCTCAGAAACCTAGCATGGTTTCAATAAATCCTCAAACACTACAAAGCAGTTACTCAGCTTGAAGAATGAAAACATGAGTTCATCCACTGCAAAGACAGGATGTAAATTCTGCTCATACAGTACCCTGCACTTCCTAACACATTTTTTTCTTCTCAATCTGGGCAACGCTTTAAGTCAAGTTTTCAGCATCAAACGCACATACCTCCTTTTTTGACTGAAAATAAAAAATATTTGATTTGGGATGAGCATAAATAGATGAGATGTGCATATATGCTTACAGTATTACTAGTTAGCAGTATTAATGAGCAATTAGATACGCATAAATAGTTTTATATGTATACAATTTAACAAATGGTAACATTCAGGATTAGAGAACCATTAAATTAAATCAGTGATTGTTAAGACGAGTGGATAAGTATGTTAATTTCTTTCATTTACACGGCGGCACAAAGAATGCTTCAAAACACGAAAAACTCAGATTTCAGGGGTGGTTGCTGCGGTTGTAGGGATCCTGATTTAAACAAACGCAGCCCCCCTGGTTCTGGCCGATGAGGCTGTTCAAGCCTACGTAGAGCTTTTGAGCGTAACTACACAACAAGCTTGTTTGTATACACGTGCGTAGGTCCTCCTAGAGAGAGCGCAACCTTCTAACTAAGCAAACCGCCTCCCCTTTCCGAAGGAAAAATACCGCCACCGAAACGCAGTCAAAAGAGGCGCGAAGGAGAGGACGGGAGAAATGATATTCCCCCGCGCAGGGAGAGAAGGGGCGGGGGGAAGAGAGAGAAAAAAGCAAACCCCCAAGCAGGGAGCCGGGGCCCGCAACTTTCTGCCAAGGGCAGCTGAGACGCTTCACCGCGACTCTCTTTTTTCCAGACGCGCCGTTTCGGGCGGCCGCCCGAGGCAGCTGCGAAGGGAGGCCGGGGCGGGGGGGCGGCTCCTGCCCGCCCCGCCGGCAGCGGCAGCGGGGGCCCTCCTTCCCCGACCCCGGGCGGGGGGGGGCACAGCTGGTGGCAGCTGCGGCACCATCTGCTCGGGGCTGCGCCCCCCGGCCCGGCCG